AGAGAAAGTGCAGCCAGGGTTGTGAGCTCCCTCCTCCCATCCCCACGGTCCCAGGATGGTGATGGCCTTGCCCTGGGCTGACACGAGTTGATTCAGAGCCTCCCTGCCCACTCTCACGGTCAGTCTCCTCTCCTCTCTCGGACTTCAGTTCTCTATTAGCCTTCCCCGGCCCTCCTTTCTTTCTGAATTTGATTGAGAAGCAGGTAAGCTTGGAGCAGGTCCGCATGGCCTTGGGAGGCCATCTGGGGAAGGGGTGAGGTTGTGGCTGCCTTGCATGGCTCCCTCGTGAGAAAGATACCAAAGCCTCTGCTCTTTAGGGCTTGGGTGAGACTGACAGAGTTTGGGGGTGGGCCAGTACACAGTAGGTGCTCAATCAAGGCAGTTTTCTCTCTCCTCTTCCTTTACTGGACACAATTCAGTCTTCTCCCCTAAGGACTGGGTCTGCCCCTGAGGGATCACTGTTGGTGAAGAGCCCTCCCTCCTTCCCTTCCTCCCTTCTCTCCTCATCTTTTTGAAATATGACCTCAATTCCCTAGAAGTGTGTTGTTTTTCTTTTTTTGGCCTCACCATGCGGCTAGTTCCCCGACCAGGGATTGAACCCCGGGCCCCGGCGGTGAAAAGCGCCAAGTCCCTAATCACTGGACCTCCAGGCAAGTCCCTAGAAGTGTTTTCTTTAGTACCCCAGCCACCAGCACTCTTTTCTCATAGAGCTCACTTGCGATTAGATCGTCTGATCTGTGGATTTTTTTTCCTACTTCATGATTTTCCTTGACCCATTTTCACTCCTAGGGCCTATAGCTTTTTTGGGCCAGAGTTTCCCTGAACTTTTTGGAAAAACGTCCCCTAACGTCTAGGGAACCCATCTGACAAATCCCAGTGTCTCTCCCCTTAGCTATCATTAACCCGTAGGAAATCACCTGCAAGTGACCCCCCACAATGAAATTCCTTTCCTGGGGACTTCCCTGGTGGTCCAGAGGTTGAGACTCCACTCTCCCAATGCAGGGGGCCCAAGTTTGATCCCTGGTCAGGGAACTAGATCCCACATGCATGGCATAACTAAAGATCCTTCATGCTGCAATGAAGATCCTGCATGCCGCAGCTAAGACCCGGCGCAGCCAAATAAATATTAAAAAAAAAAAAAAGAAAGAAAGAAAGAAGGAAAATTCCTTTCCTGGAGCTCAAACATCAACCTCTTGACTGGAATAAAGACCATCATCATCCCCACCGCCACTGTGATCCGTCAGCTCAGCCCCAGATTAACTGTTGATGCTATGTCTGGGTTGCCTTTCTAAATAATGGCTAAGAAAGGCAACGTGATCCAATATAACAAAATCTACTGGGCACCGACTATGTGACTATGAACCGGGGATTGGCGAGAGAAAAGATAGATGAGAATTGGCCTTGCCCTCAAAGAGCTTAGAATCTAATGACTAAGAACTTAGGTTTGGAATTGGAGAGCTTACAACCTAAAATGAAGGAGCAAAAAGATGAATTGGGTAAAATCAGGATAGTTTTGTGTTTTTCTTAAAGAATTTTAAAGCGGTGTTGCCTTCCTGTTTCTTCATCAGGGGTAAGTAATTTCCAGTCATCCCATCCATTAAACAAATATGTATTAAGAAAGCAAAACACAGGCCAAGAGCCTGCTGTGTGCATGGCTGGATGCACAATGAGGCCGTTCTCAGGAGACTTGAGCTCTGCTCCGTGAGAAAGCATAAAACGAAGGGGACACCAAGGTCAGAGGGCAAGTGCCCAACCCTTGCCAGTGAGAGTCGTCTTGAGTTCCACTTGAGGGGTTCAGAGTTGGGTCATCGAGGGTGGAAAGTTCTGGAAAAACCCTAATACCCCTGTTGCAACATTCTAGGAAAAATGGTCCGTCTACTGAATAAGGGTGAATCAGCCGGGGAAGGTTTGGGGCTATCAGCACTGTCCCACGGCCACTTGTCGCCAGTCTTTGGTTCCCCAGTGAAGTTCCAGCTACCCTCTGGGGGCCGAGGGGAGGAGACGGTGAGCTCTGATCGGGAATTTCAATGAGACATATGCAAATGCCCAGTGGGCTCTTCAGAGGAAGTTCTGAGAGGAGAGGGCTATGGGGCAGCTCGGCGCCCATAACCCGCAAAGCAGAAGTGAGAGCCGTGCGATTTCCCAGTCCTCTCTCCCCGTCTCACCCAGCCCTGCCCCCGTGGTGTGGGCCTCCTTCCCTCTCAGAAATGAGACCTGTGACTTTTCCCCAGTTACCCAAGTCTGAGGAAATGTTTGTCTTGAAAGGAAACTAGACTTGTAAGCCTCTTTTCAGCCCCAGAATTGAGGAATAGATTTGGGGCACCCAGTGGGGCTGAGCAGGTGAAAGGAGGGGCAAAGGAGTAACCCCCCTCCCCCTCCCCCACCTTGAGCACCTACCAAGTATCAGGCCAGGGATCCAGGGCCCTCTGCAGGGTGTCCCCACCCTCACTGGCAGTGAGTGGCTGGTGGGACCAGGACCTGACCTTGCCAGCCAAGTTCCCACACACTCTGGCCCCAGGGCCACTGCCCCCCCGGACAGTAAGCCCCCTCAAGACTGGGCAAATGCTATTCTTTCAGGAAACTAGGACACCACTTGGAGTATTTCCGCTGCAGCTCTGGCCTTTGACACAGATGCACATCTGGAAAACGCGGCCTTCCTTCCCCACGGAGTTTTGAACGAGCAGTTCTGGATTCCCAGTAACTTCCACTTGTAATTAATTGTCAATTGATTACCCGTTCACTTACGCGTGTCAGTGTGAGGGCGCTAGCCTCTCCGTCAGGAAGTCAGCTATCTATTGACGAGTGAGTCAAAGCATCCGGTGGGTTACTTATTCATGAGCCAGGGTGCCCATGTAGCTGGGTTTCCCTCACCTGTTCCAGCTTGCCCTGAAAGATGGAAGTAAAGGGCCCTGGGGAGAAAGTGCTTTCCTGACTCTTCCTGGGCCCATATTTGAACCACACTTTCTTCCCTCGCTTGCGCTCTCTCTCTCTCTCTCTCTCTCTCTCTGTCTCTCTCTCTGCCTCACACACGATTTCCATCCCAGGTCTGGTGGCTTTTGGCCTGACCTTTTACCCATATCCCACAGTGTTAACCCTGGCCAACCCAAGGTGTAAACAACACTAGATGGCACCATAAAGCATTGGCAGTAAACTGTAGACCATATTCCTTTTCTTTTTTTTTAAGATGACTTTTATTTTGCTTTATTTTCTGGCCACGCCACGCGACATGTGGGATCTTAGTTCCCCGACCAGAGACTGAACCCGTGCCCCCTGCGTTGCAAGCGCGGAGTCTTAACCACTGGACCTCCAGGGAAGTCCTGTAGACCGTATCTCTTTTTCTGCGGAGTGAGGTGAGAGGAATTGGGGCATGGCGATGTTTTATTTTTTATTAACATACAATTGATTTTTTATTTATTTTCACTGAGTTTAAGTATACATTTGGTACACGTGTTTTACTCACAGGTATTAGTGTGATAATTTGAAGGAAAAGCTGCGGGGCATAAACTGCAGGGGGAAAAAGTCTGGGGCTAAAAGTGGGGCATCTGAGGATCCAGAAGCTAAGGCTCGAGGGGCAGAGGACATTCTGTGGGCCAGCTGGGCCTGGGTGCTGGCCTCATTACTGAAGCAAGCCACTTAATCTCTTTAAACCTCCAATGCTTCATCTGAACACCAGGAGGACCGCTGTGTGGACCGCTGTGTGGATTCCCCCTCCCTTCTTCTAACGTGGTGCACACGGTGCTGGTGGGATGAAGACCACCTGGGGCTGGTTAGAAATGCAGCATCTCAGGGCCTCCGCATTTTAACAAGATCCAAGTGGCTTCTGCTGACAAAGTTTGATTAGTGCTTTGCTAAACATGACATATTTAAAACACCTAAAAAATTAAAAAAATAATAAATAAAGCACCTAGCAGAGAATTTGGCAATGTTAGTTTCCCTCCTCTTCCCTTCCCTGAGTGTGCTCAGATGGGATTTAGGTTGGGTTAGATAATGAATGTGACTTGCAGTCTGATGGTGTCGCATGTATGTTGTCTCCTTATAACCATGATGTGGGATAGGCCACACATATGCTTATCTTTGTTCACAGGTGGAAGAGTGTGGCCCTGATGAGCCCAGCAATGGCTCCTAAGGTTACAGACCCAAGGGGACCAGGGCCACATGTGCAGGTGCTCACGGCTTCAACCACCAAGCCCAGGCTACCCATGGAAGGGGTCCCTCCCTCTGGTGGGGGAAGGGATCCAGGGGCCAGCTGGAGCATACGCTCATCAGATGGGTTAGCTGGATAGGATGTAAAAAGATCCCAAGGGGCTGGAGTTTGGTGTCCTCAATGTGACAGTTTAACAACTTTCATTTAATGACCATTTGGGGGACACCCATCCTTGTGCTGGGCACTGGGAATTCAACACTGAACCATATGGTCACGTGGGGTGATGGGCGGTAGTCAGGAAGGGAAGGCAAATGGGACACATGGGGACACTGGCTGTGCCCAGGCAAGCACAGGGTGCTGGGAAGACCACCCCAGACCGAGAGATGGGAGCAGAGGGGCGGAGAGGCTCAGGCGCCAGCACCTGCGTGGTGGGCACCGGATGAGGGAGCACCGTGGCCACAGGGCTCTGGACATTCTCTCAGTGACCTGGCACCAGAGAATGTTCCCGGCCTAGGGAAGGACCTGGGTCTGGCCAAAATAGAGGAGGGAACTGGGCGCGGCCTGGGAGGAAGGTGGGGCGGTGGGGAGGGAGGGGAGCCCTGCCCCAGCGTGCCCTCTGTCCCGGGCGCGCACCTTGCCGGGAAGCCCTGGGGCCGCAGCTGCTCGGGCTGCCCGGCCCAGAATAGCCTCCCTTCCGGGCAGGGCTGCCCCGGCCCGCGGCGCCAGCGCCCGAAATAGGGCTCGGCCTGGAGGCCCAGGGACGGCAGGCGGTGGGCGCGAGGGACCGCCCCAGCTCGGGGACGCGCCGGGGAACGGGCACCCGGGTGCGCGGCAGGGATCGGGGACCGGGGGCCGGGATGCCGGGCGCGGGCCAGCCGCGGGGTGGCGGGGCGGGGCGCTGACCTCACAGTCCGCGAGGAAGCCCGTCGTCGGGGGCCGGCCGCGCTGATGGAAGGGCTGAGGAATCCGCAGCTGGCGGCGCGATGGGGCATGTGCGTGTGTGTACACTTCCCCTTTAAACGTGGCCCGGAGAGGAGCGGTTGCCATGGGCACGCACCGGGAAGGGGGGTGGGGTGGGTGAAACCGAGGCGCGCTCGGACCGAGGTCCCGGTCCGGTCCTGGTCCGGGACCTGGCGCGGGGCCCTGCCCGGGCGGGGGAGTCGGGAGATCCCGCCGGCGGGGGAAGGGTGGCAAGGACCCGCCTCCAGGGACACCCCAATCCGAGCCCGCCCCCCGCCCCCGCGGTGTCCCAGTCAGATGCAGTCTTGGACCAGGGTGTCCTGAGGAGGCTCTGTGCCTGCCCTGCCCACCAAGAGGTGCGCCTCGCGGGGGGAGGTGGGGGACTAGCACAGGCTGCCCGCTGTTACCCTCCTTGGGCCCTGAGGCTGAGAGTTTAAAAGGTGCTTGACCTCACTTTTTGCCCATGCAGCCACCACCCCTCACCGACCTCCACCCACCCGCTAACCTCCTCAACCTCTCCCAGCCTCAGTTTCCTTATCTATTAACCAGCGATTAGTCATATCTACCATACAGGGTGGTTGTGATTAAAATAGAATAATTATGTAATGTGCCCTGTGTGCTGTAGATGGGGTCCTCTTTCCCTTCTCCCCCCTCCCTCCTCAATCAGGCCTGGGATCAGTTAGGTCCTCCTTGTCAACATCCCGTCCCCCAGGCCTGGAGCTTCTCGTGGATCAACACCCTTGCCAGGGCTCTCCCCACCTCCTTTCCCCTCAGGGTTACCTTGGAACCCTCCTTACACAAAAGGATGGTTCAACTTGCTGTCGGAACCTGCAGGAATCCCAGGCTGAGGTCCAGGAATATTAACAGAGGGCCCAGCCTGGCTGAAGTGAGTCAGCCTCTCCCGAACATTACTTGCTGCTTCAGCTGCCCTTTGCAGATTGGACCGGTTGGTTGCCAGGACTAAGTGGCCCCTGGAAATCGCTGGGAAAACCAGCATGTCCTGGGGGTGGGGTTAAGAGCCAACCCCAGCATGCCAGGCCGGTAAGGGGCTCCTGATACCCCTTTGTCTCCTCCCTGGGAACCGAGGCTCGGGGCTGGGGAGCAGTGGTACCCCCTGTAAGGAAGGGCGGGCCTGGCTTACTGTAACTGCCTGGCTAAAAGCCTGATTGTCCTGTGGTTGGGCAGGCCAGCCAGAGAGGGGCCCTGGTGTAGGGAGAGCTCATGCAGTGTGTGAAGTGGAGATAGGCATGACTGCTTTCCCAAGGAGAGTTACTAGACCAGGTGGGGCTGCCAAGAGGGCGCCATTTCTCCCCCCAAGCAGGTCAGGCCACTAGTTAAATGCCAGATTATTTGCAAGAAATAGTTGGTCCAGGGCTCAGCCCCTTCCCAGGGGCATCAGAGCAGCCAGTGTTGACCCAGCACTCACTATGTCCTGGGCGACGTGGGTGTTCGCTCACTGATCTATGACAACAACCCTAGGAAGTGGGGACCGTTATTATCCCCATTGTAACAGATGGGGAGCAGATTCAGAGATCTGCCCTGGTCTCCTAACTTTGAGGAGGCGAACTGAACCGGGATGAAAACCCAGGCGCTTGATCCCCAGTCCGTCTGGCCTCCTGGGCGTGGGAACCAGTGTGGCCCGGAAGAGTAGTGGATGGCCCAGCGGACTGCCCAGGTGTCTGAACCCCTCCCCCCAGGCACGCTGTCTGCTGGGTACTCAGCTGACTTCCTGTCCCTGGAAGAGCAGCTGCGGGTATGCTGGGGTAGGGCGGTCCCCTTCCTGTAGTTCAGGTAAAAGCATAACCCCATGCCTTCTTGGCATCCTCCCTCTCTCCTTTCCCAGGCTCTAGATGTCAGACAGAACTGGATGCCCCAGAAAGCCTCTCAGGGCCAGAGATTTGTCCGGAGTCTCCAGTTGTAGGTGAGGGGCCGAGGGGGCGGAGAGAAGGGGCTGCAGGCCCTGGTTGAGGGGAGGACCTGAGAACTCTCCTTTCAGCTCTAACAGACCACCTGGAGCTTTCTTCATCACGCTTCCTCTCTAATGATGATGGCGATGCAGAGATGAAAGATGCAGATGGAAGTCCCTTAACTTCATATCCCCAGCTCTCTCTAACCTGGTCGTCTGGAACATCTGAGGGATGGAGGCTGCCGCGCTCCTGTGTCCACTTCACCATCAGATAACCCAGGGCTTTGCAAAGAGCTGGCTGTTGGGCATCCCCTGGACTTTTCCCTAGGTGACATTGCCAAGGAACTGTGGCACTGGCAGATTTCCCACGCCCAGCCCCGAGGCTTCACCTTCCCCTGTCTTTTGCCCATGGAAGCTCAGAATAAGCTTTCTAGAGGATGCTCTTTCTTGCGTGTAGCGTCATCTGAGGTTGCTAATACTGAAGCTCTTCACCAGAGAAACGTAGGAAGCATCCCTGCAGCTAAATGAGGCAATGTCTGTAGAGGACCAGGCCATGCCAAGCAGGCTACAGACGCATGCTCCCTCCTCCCCAAGAGGCACTGCCCTTGGCTGTGCAGACTGCCTCTCAGGCCTGCCCTTGGCCAGGCCATCTGCTGGGCCCATCCCTGGGCACCTTTGAAGCCTGTCCTTTGCTCAAGGTGTCTTGGATGGAGTATAAAGGGGCCTTGCTCTTGTTCCTCTACCCAAGAGCAAAGAAAGACACATTTGTTAGGCTCTTCCTGGAAAATGCAAGGAAAGAAAAAAAAATGTTCTTAATTTTAGATCCTGCAGGACCAACCAGCAGTACAGGGTTGAATAGTATACCCCAAATTCATGTCCATGTGGAGTCTGTGCATGTGCCCTTATTTGGAAATAGGGTCTTTGCAGATGTAGTTAAAGATGAAGTCATACTAGATTTGTTTGGGCCCTAATCCAATGACTGGATACAAGAAGAGGGAGATTTAGACATAGGCACACGGGGAAGACAGCCATGTGAAGACGGAGGCGAAAACTGGAGTGATGCGTCTATAAGCCAAGGAACGCTAAGGATTGCTGGTGATCACCAAATGCTGGGGAGAGGCAGGGAAGGATTCTCCCCTAGAGACTTCAGAGGGCACATGGCCCTTGCTGATATCTTGATTTGGGACTTCTGTCCTCCAGGATGGTGAGAAAATCTGTTTCTGTTGTTTTAAACCCCCTAGTTTGTGGACCTTTGTTATAGCAGCCCCAGGAAACTCATATGAGCACCAAATGTCAAACAGAGGGCAGTTGTGGAAAACAAGAAGGAAATGCAGCAGGCACAGAAAGGAAAGGCTTGGATGAGACCAAGGAGGAGACAGGAAGGAACACTTCCTAAGCATCCTCCTCCCACCCGGGACGGGAAATGGTGGCCAAGCCTTGCCGGGCTCCACTTTCCTCATAGCAGGGGTGTGGGGGGTTGGATGGGGGTGAATGTGGGAGGTCATTTTGAATCTTGCTGGTCCCAGGGAGACCCTGCTAATAATACTAAACCTGTGACATGGTCTTGTCCCTACCTCATGACAATCCATGAAGTGGGTTTTGTTGAGATCCCTGTGTATAGATTAAGAACCACGGCTAGACAGTTAAGTACCCGCCTAAGGTCATTTGCCAGGAAGCAGTGATCTGGGACACACACCCAGCTCTCCTGCCACCCAGTGGCGCTCTGCCCTCTGCCGGTCCGGGGCTCCTGTGCCCATGTCCGGTGTCTCGGGAGGGTTGGCAGATGCTGGCCATGGGCAGGGATGCTGCAGCCCAACTGCCTGGGTTTGGACCCAGCTCTGCTCCTGGTTAGCTGTGTGACCTTAGGCACGTCACGTTACATCCCTGTTCTGTAGTTCCCTCCACTATAAAAACGGGGACAATAATAGGAACTAACTCATGGAGTTGCTGGAGAATTAAATGCGTTCCCACCATCCACGTGCTTAGAATGGCGCTTGGCGCATCAGAAGCAGGCCACGAAAGTATGTGAAATAAATAAAATATGTGGGTGAAGGTTCTTTCCCTGCAGGGTCGGGGCCAACAAGAGGGCCTATGGGATGGTGAACCTTTCTTTATTCTTACTCCACAGGCCAGGGGGAGACCAAGGCCAACAGCATTCTCATGCAGTCCTTGTCTGTTTCCCACTGAACCCTCCAGAGAGCAGCAGGGAGGGCCACTGAGACCAGAGAGCAGAGTCCTGGGCGGGCTGACTCAGTTGCTCGAATCCTCCCTCCGAGGCCAAGAACACCTGTGATCCTGGATCAGGACAGCTTTCTCCTCCCAGAGGAAAGCTCGGACCCCTGCCATCACCTCGCCGCTGAATCCTGGTCAGCGATCTGCCAGTTCACTGTGTTGCTCACAGTGGGAAGCTAGACTGCGGTGATTCATCATCACGCATCACCCCATGGAAAGTTCATCTACGGCGCACATCGGAGGGACGGTACTGGGCGTTGCGTTTACAGACGGAGCTCAAAATGTGCTGAGCGGCTTGTGCACGCAGCAACGTGCCCAGCCCGGGCACATCCAGGAAGTCGTCCAGGCATCTCTGGCCATTTCTCCATCTTTCTCCCGGGGGCCTGTAGCCTCTACCGGGCTTCTGGCCCTTTTAATTGCTTCCTCTCCAGATGTCTCTCCTACCAGTGACAGAGTCCGGCCTGATGGTCCCAGGGCCTTGTATATTCTGCCAGGGTTGAGGCCCCTCCCCTCCCCCACTCAGGATGGACCAGCTCAGTCCTTACCCTGGTGTGGGCACAAGGTCTCTTGTTGCAGCTGGGCCCCTTGGCTGACCTTCTCAGCTCCTTCTCTAAGGCTGGAGAGGCCTGGCAGGATGCCTGCAGGCTCCTCCCCTCCACTCCAGGGCTCTGGCCAGAGCCTGGTCAGGGTCCTTGCTGAGTTCCCAGCCAACCCCTGGAGTGATGGCCTGAGAAGTCCAGCGGGGAAACCCCAGTGTGTAGGGCAGTATTCCATTGACTGTCCCCACCCCCTTATTGGGCAATGCCGGCTGGTCTCTGAATAGCTTCTGGGTGGCCTTCCCGCCAGACCCCCTTGCCTACTTTCACCAGGTGCCAAGGAACACTGAAAAGGGCAGCGAATGGCTAGGGTACCACGCTCAAAAGCCAGCCTGCCTCCCTCCCAAGCTGGCTCCTTTCCCTCCAGCCTCCTTTTCATAGAATTGTATTACAGAAGGGGATATAGAGGTCATCTCATCCCCCCGCTGGCTTCCAGAAGGAATAGTTTAGAGTGATATTGGGGTTCTCTGAGGCTTTACGCAAAACTCTGCACATTGGGTTGGCCAGAGGTCTCACTGGAGTTTCCTTGGCAATTCTGTGTCCATTGGGAACACCAGCCCTGAACGTCTGAGGCTCCCAGACGCTGGGAGATGGGATGACCCTGGCGTTCCCTGCAACCACTCAAAGTCTCTATGGATGGAATGGCAGCCCCAGGACTGTCCCCCAGGGCTGACTGGTCTCTGATGAGAGCCAGGTGTGGATCCAGCTGCCATTTGGGTCCCTTGGGGAGCTTTCACAGTAGCTGCTAAATGGAGGTCCTGGATGGTGGGGACTCACACACACAGGTGCAGGTAGTGGTGGAAAGGGCAGGTGATCAGTGTTCTAAGTCTGCTCCTTCCACTAACCGTCTGTGTGACTTGAGGCACGCCTAAATCTCTTGACACCTTAGTTTGCTCATCTGGAAAACGCAACATATTTCATTTGAGCTGCCTCACTTACCTCTGAGTTATATAAGGAGGGAAGAGCGAGATAATATATTAGGATGTGTTCTGAAAAAAACAAAAGTGCTGTTCATGCCAACACAATGTATTAAAAATAAAAGATGCCGGGGCCTCCCTGGTGGCGCAGTGGTTGAGAGTCCGCCTGCCGACGCAGGGGACGCGGGTTCGTGCCCCGGTCCGGGAAGATCCCACATGGTTCGGAGCGGCTGGGCCCGTGAGCCATGGCCGCTGGGCCTGCGCGTCCGGAGCCTGTGCTCTGCAACGGGAGAGGCCACAACAGTAAGAGGCCCGTGTACCGCAAAAAAAAAAAAAAAAAAAAAGAAAAGATGCCTATTTGCTTCCCGAAGTAAAAGTTGTAAACGATTTAAATCATATTTTAACGACTCCAGAAACCCCTTTATTTAAAGACATTTCTTTCTTTTGTACAGTCAGGGGTCAAGCATTTGGTGGGCTTCCACTGGGCGCCACCGACTCTGCCGGATTTTGTGATGAATGTAAAAAGCTGGAAGATCCAGTGCCTGGTGCACAGTAGGCATTCAATAAGTTATCATCGAAGGAATGAATAAGAGAGTTCTTCCTTCAGAGAGTTCATAGTCCAGCCTGGAGGAAACTGGCAACCACCAACGAGAGGCAGAATTGGAAGAGGGAGAAGGGCTGTCTGGGCTGGTGGGATAACCCCCGTGTGAAACGGGCTCACAGGTGAGCACAGGTGTGAAGCCTATGGTGGGCAGGTAAGGAGACTACCTTGATGGTAGGAAGTAAGTCTCCCAGTGTGGGGTGGAGTGGGTGGGAGAGTTGAAGACAATGAGCTTTCCTCTAGGGTGAGAGTCTGAATGTATTGGAGGCGGCTTAGAGGAAAGTGCCACGGGACCCAGTGTGCATCCTATGGGGAAGGGCCCTGTGTGTGACGTAATGATAAGACCAGTATTTTTAGAAGATGAGCCTGGCATGGAAGTGCCTGATGGGGACACACCAAACTTCTTGAAGTTCCCCAAAGCCTTCTTTTCCCTTTTTTGGCCATCTCCCTGTTTCTGATCATTAGAATGCCCCACTGTCCCACGCCTGCCAAGGGAACACCTGCTATTTCCCATTACCAGAGTCACCTCTTCTGGGAAACCACTGTAGGTCATTTCCTCCTGGGGGCCTCCAGATGTACCCTGTATACCATTTTATTTTTATACTCATTCCTTTTTAGGATACTTATTGGTTTTCACGTCTGGTTCCCCTTTCAGACTGTAAGTCTCTTGAAGTCTGAATGTTTCCTGGTTGGCAATGATCTCTCCAGCATTGGTCACAGTGCCCAGAACAGGGCTCCCACCTGCATTGATATCACCTGGGGCACTGGGCAGGTAAGCATCAGGTACTAATAATGAACCCTAAAGCTCAGAAACACTGCAGCCCCCATCACACAACTTCGTGGGACCCCCACCCACAAAGATCATACTGTGAATAGCGCCCCCTGTGGTTGTGTACACATTACATCAGCCTCCTGTTTTTTTGGTTTTTTTTTTTGCGGTACACGGGCCTCTCACTGTTGTGGGTGGGCTCTCCCATTGCGGGGCACAGGCTCCGGACGCGCAGGCTCAGCGGCCATGGCTCACGGGCCCAGCCGCTCCGCGGCATGTGGGATCTTCCCGGACCGGGGCACGAACCCGTGTCCCCTGCATCCTCAGTCGGACTCTCAACCACTGCGCCACCAGGGAAGCCCCCCTCATGGGTTTTATGTTTCATGTCTGTACCTTCATCATCCTATACATTATGGATACCAAATAGCATTTTCTGTATGAAAAGAAGATTTGGGGGAGGCGAGGTGAAAGAGAGGAAACATTTTATTGTGTAATGTAAGTAACGAACTTGCATTGTTTGTTTCTTCTTTTAAGTCTAGGTTTTCCACCTTTCTCTAAGGCTGGGCCTGATTATTACAACGAATAGCAGCTGTGATCGTATTTACGAGGAGAGCGCGCAGTTTTAGTGTTCAGAGCCCTGGCTTCAGATGAGAGCCAGGGGCCTCTGATTCTCTCTGCAATGCAGCCTTCCAGGCCACTGCTGTTGCTTAAGGCTGTGCTGCAATCCGGAGCACTCAGGAGTGGGAAGTCCAGAGTTCTCCCCACTTCTGGGAACAGCCCTCCATCCCCCTCCCCGCGCCAGCTTCCACAGGCAGTCCTCATGACAGTGGGTCAGGCTAACCCAGGGTTTCACAAATGCCTGGCCTGTTCCCAGCACAGCACAGCTGGGAGGGCTCAGCACTGGGGGAAGGAGCACCGTCCTCCTCCCCCTGCCATCCTCAGGCTGGGGCCCAGGGGCTGGAGCCCAGCAGAGGGAAGGGCTGCACTTGTCTGCACTTGCCCCAGTGCGGGCAGTGATCCTGGGCCTTCCCTCCCTGCTAATTTCCCAGCTCTGGCTTAGTCAAGGTTCAAGGAGGATATTCCCTTTACCGGGAAGTGAGGAGGACCCAGGCTTGTCTTCCCCAAAGGAAGCGAGTGGTCTCAGAGTCACCTGAGGAGGTGTTGCGTATTGAGATTCCCCACTCTCCTTGGGGCTTCTGATTCAGAAAAGCTGAGCTTGGAGTCCGGGAATCTGCAATTTCACCCACTCCCTGGGGGCTATAGCCGCAGGTGGTTCTTTGGCTTTCATGAGCCTTGGGAGGGAGGCAGCTCTGGGAGGTGAGAAGGGTTGAGCCAAAAAAAGCCCTGTGTTCTCAGGTAGGACCTCCGGCTCTCTCTAATGAGCTCCATGACCCTGGAGTAACTGCCCTTGTAATCCAAGTCTCACTTTCACTATCACTGAAATGGATGTGTGACCCGAGGGAAGGGTGATCAAATGTCCTGGACATTCAGGGCTACTAACCCAGGACAAGCTGGTCACCGTACCTGAGGATGAGACAGGACTGTGGATGTTCGAGGTACTGGAAATGTGACTTAAAGATGAGTCTTTGCGGCACAAGTATCAGACTGTTTATTTTGTTTACATTTTAACTAGTGTTTGTCACTTCCACTAAATCTCTGGAGAGCAGGAGTAGCAGGGCCTTGTCTTGTTCACACTCAATCCCCTGACACACAGGATGTGTTAATGGGTACTCGCTGAGTGAATGAATGAATGAGTGAATGAGTGACTGACAGGCAGGGGCTGGGGGGCTCCAAGGACAGTGGTCTGGGGGGGAGAGGCTGCCGGCCTGGAGGGGGATCTCGGCTTCCCTGGGAAAACTTGATCCACTCATGGCCGACAAAGAGTCAGGGTTTTCTGAGCAGCCTCCCCTCGGAGGGGTCAGTGACCCCCAGGGACGAAGGACTGCCTCCCTCCCTCCCTCCCTCTCTCCTTCCAGGAGCCCCGGGCGCGCCGGTCCATCCTCTCTCCTCCCTCTCCCGCCCCCCACCCCAGGGAGGTGCGCCTGGCAGCCTCCCGGCCGAATTTCCTGGCACTGGTCTGAGAATAAACAGCACTCTGCGCCTGTAATTCCGTTGCCACGGCGACCGCTCCGCGGGCGGCGGGGGCGTGTCGGGGGCGTGTCGGGGGCGTGGCCTGCCCCCGCCGCGCTCCCTCTCGGCTCGGCAGCTGCTGCGGCTGCGGCGGCGGCGCGGGCCCGGGAGATGCCACCCGCCAGGCTCCGCGCGTACATTCTTCGCATAGCTCCGTCAGGGCTCCCGCGGTGTCCGGGAAGTGACTCTTCCTGGCAGAGGCAGGCCTCCAGAGAGACGCGCGCGCCTGCCCGCTCGCCCGGTGGCCGCCGGATCCGGAGGGGGCGGGACGCGGCGCGGGAAGGTGCGCCCGGGACCGGGTTCTTCCCACCTCGGCCTCGGTCTTCCCGGTCCGCCCCTGTGCACATTGTCCCCCACCCCGCAGGCTTCTGTCTCTGCTTAGACTCCCTCTGTGGCTATCTGACTCTGCCCTCTCTCTCTCTCTCTCTGCCTGGTACTCCGGCGGTGCCCCCTCCCAAACATCCTTAGACTAGGGCACACGTGCCCGCTTACTTTCCATCTCCAGCTCCCCTGTCTGTGGCCTCCTTCCTTCCCTCCCCCAGAGCAAGCCTCAGAGTTCCCGTTCCTGGCTCTAACTCATCAGGAGGCCTGCCCAAAGACAGCACCACCGGGGAGAGGATAAGGACCTCTTGGGGGTGGATTCCTACAGCGCTTGAAGCACGGTAATAGGGCCCACAGTCTGGGGAGCTCCATCTCCTCCCTTTCTGTTGGCCAGGGACCCCCAGCTGGGCTTAACCCCCTGTGCTTAACCCCCTTTGAGGCTCAAGCCGCAAAGAATTTTCCCTATGCCCTGCAGGACGCTTCTTAGCAAATCTGGGAACCAGGTGCACCCCTCCTCTGGCGGCCAGGACAGAGGGTCGCCCACAAAGTCCTCTGGAGGAGCGGTGTCTGCCTCTGAAAGGACTGAGAAGTACAGAAAGACTTCTGCAACACGGGTTGCTATGAGGAGGGAAAACAGGGAGAAGTGCTGGTGAGCAGACCAGTCTGAGAGATTCTTGTCCTGATGTTGCCGTTAGCTGGCTGTGTGAAGTCCAGTAAGTTGCTTTCCTTCTCTGGGAGTCACTTTGACTTGTCTGCAAACCAGAAGGTTGGTCCGGTCTGTGGTCTGAAAATGGAGAGACCTATGGGAAGGAAGAAGGGTGGGGTGGGCAGCGAGGGAAAGGAGTCAGGGGTCTTCTGCCTCTGAGTTCCACCTCCAAGGGGTAGGGAGAGCCACTTCCCCCCTGCAGGCCCTTCCGTTAGCACCCTCTAAACTCTGGACATCCTGGCTAAACAGCTGCCTTCTGGGCCTAGGATGGGGCCTTCGTGTGCTCTGGGTTCCAAGGTTCCATCGAGGCTGTCAGGCCAGCGGATGGTGGGGTGGGGAAGAGCCTACCAAAAGTCTCCCAGGCTCTCGTCCTCCTGCGAGGCGCTGGGGAGCCAGGCCCCACTGGGTCCCCTCACCTGACCTTGTGCTCTGGGAAGGTGACCTTGCCTGGGTCTACATTCCCAGTTCCAGAGGTGGTAGTCTCTCTGGTGTGCTTCCTAACGTGCTCTGTCTACTCAGTGGTCCCATGCCTGGCCTCGCCCTTTCTCGTCACTTTAGGTTATTTTCCCCAAAAGTCCAGGAAATGGGAAAGAAAAACGACTTTGTTTATTTACTCTCAGTTGCCTTTTGGACACTGATTCCTGAGCAGCTTATCGGGGGCCAGGAAGAGGGCTGTGGCACTTGTTTCAGGCATCCGAGGCAGAGGAGGGGATGGGGCCCCTGACTTGGGGAGAACACTGATCCAGCTGTCAGGCTTGGGGCCTTGGGGGAGAAGCAGCATGGAAGGAAAATGTCACAAAGCAGGCACTTTTAGTTTGTCTTTTTAGCAGAACCCTAGTGCTGAGTGTGTGTGTGTGTGGGGGGGGGCGGTTACCAACCTCTTGACTTTGCAGGGGGGACCTACCTAGGGGCAACCCCGGGCATATACTTTGTGCTTACTTAAGGGAGGCAGAGAGAGTTCCTGGGCTTTGGAAAAGTCAAAGGCTCCCAGATTCCTAACCTGTGTCTTTCCCACATTCCCAAGAGGTGTGTCCTTGGGCAGGTTGCCTAACCTCCATGAGCCTGAGATGCTGCCCCCACTCAGCCAACAAATATTTACCGAGCACCGTTCTAGGCATCAGAAGTGACCAGTCCAAGTCCCCGCTCCCATGGAGCACACAATTGGGCCTGAGAATATGCGGTGATAACACCAGCCTCCTGGGGGTGGCTGGGAAGGTGACTACCGACCCAGGTGGTCTCTCAGTGCCCAGAGGGTGGGAGTGGCTGAAAATAGGTGAATAGATGGCTGCTCTTATTGGGAGGTATGTGGCCCCATCCACTTCTCAGGCTGGGGCTCCTACCCCTGGGGAGGGCCCCACTTAGTGCAGGGTTTGCATCGGGACTCCCCCTCCCCCCACCTCCCATGGACCCGGCTGTGCTGAGGTCACGGGTCACCTCCAGGACCCCATAGTCTGGGCTTTCTCGGAACACCTCCCTGCCAAGGAGCCCAGCGCCTCTAATAGCTTGGAGCCTCTAAAAGCTTTGACCACAGCTCAGTTCATACTCCCTGCAAGCCCTTTGAAGCGCTTCCTTCGAACTTGCTTTGCATATTCTGGTCAGATCTGAATCACACTAGCAGGAATTACCCCTCTCGGTACAGTCTAGGTGGCTGCCTTAGCTTGTCAGTGACGTGAAGCCGAGTTTGATTCCATCACAGGGAGCGCCAGGGCAGCAAGGCGGTAGAGCCGCCGCCCTCTGATGTAGAGTGTAGGTGTGGGTGAAAGAGCAAGTAAGGCAGAAGGGGCGGGGGAGAAAGGCTCAAGTCAGGTTTTTCATTAAAAAATAGTGCTCTTTATTATAAATTACTGAAATGTTTCTTTTTTGAATATAAATATAAATATGTGCAAAGTTTGACTTGGATTGGTATTTTGTTAAGTTCTTCAAGCATCTCCTATCAGCCTCGAAGGCCTGGGTGGGGGGAGGGGAGGACTGGAGGTGGAATCTTTATAAAAGACAGAGTGATTGAGGCAGATTGTAAACATTATTAAAAAACAAAAACGAAACCCAAACAAAATAACAGGAAAAAAAAACAACAAAAACACCCCAACACACAGCTGCCCCATCCAGCCCAATACCTGACAACAGAAAACTTTGTGTGTTTAGTTTTCCCCAAAAAAGAACAGTTCCAGGTAATTCCATCCCCGCTACATTCCTGTAAGTTTTCACTGATCAGTGCTATTGCAGAGCGGGAGCAGCTGGGTGGCAGGGCCTCTCGATGACTTCCTGCCTGTGCCAGTCCCCCAGCGTGAGGAGGGAGGGCTGTGCAGGGTCTGGGGGGCTGTGGAGCCTGGTGGCTCTGCTCTGGCCAGAGCCCAGGCACCACTGGCCGGCCAGTACCAACTGGGCTGGCATTCTTCCTGCGCTCAGGTGGAAGGCATGGATCTCTGCCCGCCCCCCCCATGCATCTCTGACCTCCCCCGCCAAATGGTGTGTGGCCGGTGTACGCCCCTCTGAGAATCTCTTGGCCTCTGCCTGGATTGGTTGAGTGTGTGGCTTCTTGTGTGCCAGTCCCTATCCATGGGACAGGGAGCATTTAAGGCAAATCTCCTAGCCAGATATAGTCAGGAGGCACAAAGTAGAATCCCCCATCTTCTCTGTCCAGGATCTGGGGTCAAAGGTGGCTCATCTCCTCCATCTCCTCCAGCCCCATCCCCCAGGTGCCGAAAGGTATAGCATGGGTGGGGAAAGAAGAATTGACCAGCCGTCCATCCTCTTCCAAATGCCACTTCCCCCTTAAAACAGGGGAAGGGCCCTGGGCTCTCCCGCATTAGATGGACTCTAGGACCTGTGTTTCTGGTGGCTGTCCGAAAGGGGAGGAAGAGGGGGAGTGGAAAGGTCCCCTTCAGGCCACCCCTTGCCCTTCTCCCCAGTGCCAGAGGTGGAGCAGGCAGCCACCCTCCTCACCTGGGCTGGGCGATGGGGGTGACCATTTCCTTGGCCAGCCGGTAGCCCTGGGCCCCTGAGGCGCCCTCTCTCTCATCCACCCTTTTCCAGGCCCGCGACCTGCTCAGGTTTAAAGCTCTGTTTAAAACCAAATCAAAGAGCAAACAAGTTCCGTTGGAAAGTTCGAAGATTCCCCGGCAGTTCTCACCAGTTCAACACGCCCGCAGTGTCCCCCGTTTGGAAGCGCAGGGGGGTCGAGAAAGCAGGACAGGAGAGAGAATCCACTGAGGTCGTTGCTGTGGTCCCCCTGGGCCCGCCAGCTCCTCCGGAGAAACTGGCGTGGGGGAGGGGCGCTCAGGTGGCTCTCCCCCTCCCCTCAAACACATTCCAGGTACCACCCGCCCAGTTCTGCAGGGGGAGGACCAGAGGGAGGGGCCTGTCCGCCCCCTAGCTCACCCAGAGCTGCAGGACTCTCACGGCTGGATTCTTGTGCTTATGCCATGTGCCATGGAGGAGAGGGG